TATGCATCGAGGTGGCAGGAGGTTGTTAGACATCATCTTTTCCCTCCCCCTAGGACCTCTTATCGCCTCCACCACACCACTAACAACTCCATCAGGCTCAAGGTCAAACACACAAACAGACACACAGACACACACATTTATTTAATAAATGTAGACTCTCCCATTAAACCCTTAGCTATAGTCTTTTGTTCCCACCAAGCAGTAGCACACCTGAGTTGACAGGTTTAATCAACTGGTCTCAGTCTTCAGACAGCTGAATGGCCAAACTATGTGCTCTTGATTGGTTGGAACAAAAACCTGCAGCCACACGGCCCTTTGAGGAACAGTTTGGGCATGCCTGGTCTAAGCGAAAACCATTGTGCATAAATCTAACTACACTACCTACAATTTGACTGTTACTAACCCACCCTCCCTTTACCATGTTGCCCTAGCGAGATGTGAACACTTGTGATTTACCAGGAATTAACCAGGTCCTCCCTTCAAAGAAAATTCAGAACTATCCAAAAGGGTCCTGACAAAAAAAAAAATCCAAAACAAGTGCACACACACACACACACACAACTATTATCTAATATCCCTTTCCTCACCTCCCGCTGAATGCCACCCAACCTGCACCCCCACCCTGCCTCACCTCTGCTCCCCTGCTCCTGCTCTCTCCTTCCTCCGTCCTTTCCTGGATCCAGCTTGGCAGTTTGTGATGAATGGGCCAACATTACTCCTGTCCTCTGTTGGCCTGGTTTAGCAGCGCCAACCTATCTCCCTCATATGTCTGTCAGTGAGTCTATCGTTTTGTCTGTGCCAGTGTGTGTGTGTGTTGTGGCCGACTTTAAAAACTATGCTTCAACCCAACTTGGATTTATGATGAATTATTTTGGCCGCACTCCAAAACAAGTATTAATGTACTTTAAATGAGGCGCCATATGTACATAATTATGTCAGGGGAAAAAAAGTGCATTCAGAGATACAAAGGCCTCTTTAGTTTTAAACCTCCTGTAAACCTTATACATATATCTTTTTAATAAGTAAATCATCTTTTGGTTAAACCTTATCTGATTTAACATCTCTGCAAAAACTGTATCCTTACTAACATATTCATGTTCACAGAGACTGGGAATAAAATTTGTTGTAACAGCCACTGTTTTAAACTGTTTGGGAGAAAAAAATGTCAGAGCGAGAGTGCATCGCTAAGAAGTGCAGGGATCAGGTCTTCAAAAAGTAAATAAAATATGCATCCTCTCCTCTCCTCTCCTCTCTCATTACACATTTATGAGTCTTGTGAAAAGAAAAAGGTGGCGGCTGCCTCGCTTAACTGTCTGACTTTTAGAATTCAGACGACACTGCTGTCAAGTGTTGTGCTCCATATTCGGTCCAATAGGAGACCAGGAGGTTTCAAGCGTGTGCCAACTTCCAAGTAAGATTCAGTGGGAGTCTCAAAGAGAGTTCCTTAAGGTGGATGAGAGCACACAGGAACTCCTTACCTATGACACAACGAGTTCTCGCCGCCGCCTTTTGATGCATTGTTCATCAGTCGCAAAGTTCAGTTGCTTCAGTCACACATGTGTTTATGTGGTTTAGAACAGTAAATGTTGAGGGAATAGACATTTGTGCATTATGCATAATGAGCACTGAGATTTGCTTTTTTTTCAATTCCAGGAAGTGAAAGAACAAGTGCTTACTCGCTATCTCATCCCACCACCCACCACCCACCTGGGTGGTAGTACAAACAGGTTCATCCACCTTCATGTACATCTGGGGCTGTAAAAGCTCTTATAAAAGAACTTATTAAGATACTTATTAACAGTGACACAAAGGTTAATATCCTCAAACTAAAAGTTTTTGGCAAAATAAAATTACAACACATGACCATGGGATTGTTTCTCCTTATGGACAATGCCATCACATTATTAAAATATTCAAAGCAAAAAGCAAATACTTTCCATGTTCAGCATTAGTCCCACAAGCAAAACTACATGACACACTATCACCATAGCATAACTTTAGTTGCAGTGTAACACACTAAGAAGCTTCAGAAAACTGGAGCAGAAAGACACACACATTCGGCCCTTCATTAGTTGAGCCCAGTCAGGTTTACCTTTAAATCTACACAGAGGAGCCCAAGGTGGGGATGAGGGTGGCCCAACGCGCAGTGTGTACGGTAGGTATTAACTAAGACGAGGACGGGAAACAGACACTGTACACAAACCCCGACAGGACAGCAGACAAAGGCACCTAGACAGACGATGGGCTAATAGGAGACCGAAAGACGATGACACACATTATTAGTGCCAGAGCCACACACACATGCCCACTTACCACCATGGTTCGTATCCACTCAAAGTGCCATGAAGCCAACATATCCTCGAGGATATGGTTTTTATCACAGGTGTCCTCCCAGGGGCCTGGTTTAGGGTCCTTGTGGATAGATTACAGTGAAATTGTCTCTTTAAAACCCAGAGAAATTAAAAGCAAAAGTCAAAAAGTGCTGTGAGTTAATGTGTGCCAATAGAAATGGTTCAGAGACAATACACTGCAGATTTGGTTTAACTTTTACATTAATCACATCTATTTCCATTTTATGTTTTTACTCACCTTAGGTGAGATCTAAGGCTTTATTCAATCAGATAATTGATTCTTAAAATATTATGGCTTGGACCCAAGTGGTGTCATGGTACAGTTTCAGTCCAAAGATTATTTAAAAAAAAGTGTTTTTTCACATTTAAAAGCTACATTTCGGGCTCAATATCACATTTTTATATTAGAGCACAGACTGGATCATTGCGTATTGGTATGCTGCACACTCATTGAGCTACATCAGTTATGGCAACACATTTTCCAGAGTGGCTTTAACACATTAATAATGTTATTGACCAGCAGGTAAATGGTTTATTATCTTATTGGTATTGTTTGTAACATAATGTTGCCCTTCAACTCATTTTTGGGGATTCAGTTGAAAAACCCTGAATCAAATAATTGCAATGATTTAACCAATATGTGTGTGTAGGCTAAAATAACCCCTGTAGAAATGTCAATTTAGCAACAAACGAGTAGAAAAGTTAGAAGAAAAGCCAGAGTCAGAGAATTAAGGAGAATTGTCAGAATGCCTGCCACAAAGCTGGAGTTGTGAATCTTTGGGGAATAAAATGTGAGAGATGATTCACCCGATGTGATTCTGTGCAGAAAGAGAGGGAAAACAAATCAACAATGCAGTTTATTTTGCACAGAGAGACAATAACCCTGCATACCTCTTTTACCCTCTTTGTTCAGATTCCTCTCTCTATTAGCCAGATATGATTAAAATGCAGTTTCCTACAAGCGTCTCAACGGAACAATGAAAAAAGAAACACAAGGCAGCAGGATAAAAAAAGGCAAAAAAGTCAAAAGCATATTTTTGCAGCGTGACACGTTTCATCCTTTTCAGGCGGTAAGAAGAAAAGGATAAAGGATAAAGACATTCAAACTTTTTTCTACCCCTCACTGCCATTCTCCCGAGTAGCTGAAAACACCCCTCATACCGTAGAGGACAACTCTGCAGCATCACAAGCTGAATATCATCTCCTGCACTACATTTATATAACACTGATATAATTTCCACTCCTCTCTTTAGTCCAATTACATTGTGACAGTGTGACTGCTCACATTCTGAAAGATCAGCTTTGTGCCCTGACCAGGACTGAGAGGAGGGTGCTGTGGAGCTGTGTTTGCTGTCTAGAGGTAAGTCCGAAAGAAGTGTTTCAGCCATATTCGCACTGATCTAATGTGTGTATCTGATTTAACATTTCATGGTTCTGAATCTCATCACTTGAGGCTCTTACTTAATGGGACACAGATGACAGAGAGGACGTAAGCAATGACATAGACAGGCAGAGATAGTTAACAGACAGAAAATGTGAAGCCTGCAAGATGAGAACTGCATATGCGTGTGTGTGTGTGTGTGTGTTTGTGGTGATACTAGCCATATAAGTTATATGCTTGCCAGAGATCCAATTATTAGACGCACACATGCTAGACTGTGTGTGTACATTAGCCACACCTACAGGGAAAGTAGCAGTGGGTGGAACAGCCGTCTCAGCATCGCAGATGGGCCAGATTAGGAGATAAATTGGGGAAAGACGATGGTTTTGTTACATGGCAGATAGAAAACAGTTTTATATGCACAAATGTCCTTAGTTAGACCCTTAGGTAGTAAAAAAAACCTTTTGGGTTGCGTAATTTTGTAGAAAAGACAACAAACATTGACATATTACGATTAACTTTTAACACTAAAGTCATAGCTATTAGAACAATTTAAATTTAACATATAGATCTGTGACTTGAGTCACTTGAGTGACTTGAAATCTGTTTTTCCTTTTTTATGTTAACTCTAAATGTGCTCAGAATATCAGTACAAGTGCAATGCAATGCATCAACTTTCTAAGCAGACATGTACTTGTTCTCACATCCTTTGCATATACTTGTCTGGGGTGGAAATCTGTACTATAAAATGCTATGATTGATTGATTTCACAGCAATCCCACCAATCTCCCACTGATTTTCTTGGACCTGAAGTAAGAGTGAGTTGGATGTCTGTGCAGTTCTTTTCTGTGTAGTTAGTACTAAAAAACAGATTTTTAATAAAGAAACTCATAGCCAGAGTGAGACACATGTCAAAGGTCACTTTCACATCAGAAACAATAGTCTTGATGTACAGCTATAACTATTACAAAGCATTCACAAAGCTGACACTGTAGAAATCACATGACTGTCATGTACAGTACAGTTCAATAAAAAACTTGAAGATGAAATGAGCCAAAACACTATATACACACACTTACAGTGCGGGCCCAGTCTTACATTTGTGTAAATGGGTTTATAAGTACAGCACATTTACCATCTAAGTAGGTCAAAAACCTGGCAAGAAATATCGTCATAAGACCTGACCTTCAGCTTAATTGAAATAATGCTGATTCATTTGAAACACCTGTGAGAATTGCATTTATAAAAAGCCATAGAAAAGTCAACGTGTAAAACCTGGTGAATAATATTCCCACTATATTTACCACTAACTGGGGGGAGGGAAACACAACATGACTAAAAAAGCCAAAATGAGAAAAATGTTACTACATGTACTAAATGTACTGTATGTGAGCATGGGTGTGCGACTGTGTGTGTGCGTGTGTGTGTGTGTGTGTGTGTGTGTGTGTGTACAGGAGATAGAGATAAACTTAGACAGAGAAAAAGAGAGGGAGTGCACCGAGCAGTAAGCCCGAGAGCAGGACATGATTGCAATGTGTATCTTATCGGTGTCAGGTCCTCCTGAGGCTAGTGGAGCCTAGCTGAGCGGAGCACGAGCGCTTCAGTGACCAGTCAACCGTGTGAGGGTAATCTCCTCACTCTTTCACTCACTCTTACACACATACACACACATGCTCTTAGACTCTCTTTTTCCAGTAAGCCCCCCTCTGGGAGGTATCTGAGTCACTAAGCAAGACACACACCAGCATATTCAAGCTCCAAAACAGTTGCATCCATGCAGAGCCTGAGGTGATTGCCTTATGCCAGCTCTGGACAGTAACCCCCCACAAGTGAGAGCAGACATAACAGGCTACATTGAACACCCAAGCCCCTGCAGCCAGTAGCCTGTAAATATGTGACTGAGTTGCATGATGTGATGCTACCTTGCAACCAACCACACAACGTAAAACGTAACCCTTGGCTATTCTGCAGGATATTGAAAAGGCATGAAGACACGGGGGAAGGCATTTTAAAACTAGAAGAAAAAAGGTTTTAAATAAGAAGAAAATTAAATTTTAAATGCATTTTTCTTTTGTTTTAAAACGTATCTGACTTGATCGTATATATTTTCCAATATAGAATTTATGTAGACAAATATTTGATATAAATAAATAAATAAATGCATTTACCAGACATCTAAATACTACTATTTCTTGATATTTGATACTTGCATTGCATACAGTATGTTGCTCATCTAGTGATGTAGTTGAATAAAAGTTCCTTTATTAAAATGTAATCTGAGACAGAGATTAGTAGACATGGAAATAAATTCATCAGATATCATATTACTCCCTATACTGGTGTATTTATAGTATGCAATACAATATTTCAGGATGTTATAATAATGCAATTATTTTTACAAACACTAAACTACGTTAAAATCACTTGAAAGGAAATTCTAAAGGAATGTTTTTTTTTTGTTTGTTTGTTTCATTTAAACTCATTCATAATAAAAAATAATGTTGTTACCCAAGCATGACATATACTTCGGGATATTCAAATACAACCTTATCCCTGATTGTGTATTTTCCTTGACTTAGTCTCATCCATTACCAGTATCTATTGTATCTAATGTGCTGCACCAGCAGCTTGCCTCCATGTTTAAAATTAGTTTGATGAAAAATTGAGGTTAAGAACTGGCACATATTTTGTGTGCGTACTGTATGTGCAAGTGTGCATTTATACTGAAGGTCAGTGATCACACACTAAAACAAAACTGTGGGAGGAGGGAAAAAAAAGTTCATGTCTAACATTCCTTCACCTGTCATGACTGCCTGCCTTCGAGGCTTCAACAACTGAACCATCCCAAACAATTAGTTCAGATGCCGGGCTTTCATTGAGATTAAGTGACTAATATCAGCGCTAGCTCACAAAAAAGAGACTTTTCGCATCTGCCCAACAATCTGTTAAGTCAAAACACATGCGGTGAGCCAAGGCAAAAAGCCTGCAAGGGGTCCTCTCTGCAATGAAAAACAGGTGCTCTACTTTTTGGCCATGTAATACCCCATTTAGCCTCTGGACTAAAGGTTATCCAGCTAATAGCTGCCTTGTGGTGAGCTGGGAAGTGTTGTGCACATGCTCAGAGTAAACATCTGGGATGGATTGTACATACTTGCAACATATGCTTCAAGTTCAATTAAACTGAGGCCTTGGCTCATTTATTAATCTTTTTAAACCTCCCCTTTCTCCTCTTCCCCTTTGACTCTTTTTTATTCTCCCTTCTCTTTCTTTAACATCTGTATACAAAAGTGGCTTCTTATGACCTCGGCCTGTAATTCTGTACAATGTTAAAATAATGCTGGTTCACTGTAAAGGGCCATATTTGTAAAGACAAATTTGTTAAGGCATGTTCTGCAATACCAGGTTAGAGGGAGAACCCGATGGAAAATAGAGTTTATGTTATAAAGAAAGGGAAAAAACGAAGCAAAGAGAACAGCTATGGAACAGATAGAAGGAGAGTGGGAGGAGAGAGATGTAGGTGAAGGGAAAAAAGGGAAAATGCCCCGCTTTCAACTCCCCTACAGCTCAAATGAAATGCTAACAGTTGAGGGAAGCAATAGATCAAAACGCATGAAGGCAGAGTTGGTAAATTGTAGTCTTTGTGGTAGCTGTGCTATCCAGCATCCCAGCCCTGTGTGAGCACAGAGAGCAAGGCCTTCTTATGTGGAATAATCAGTTTGGCAAGAAATCTAACAGCGGTGGCTGCACGAGCTGCTGCTG